GAGGTAGGATTGCGTCCGCTAAAATCACCGTGTGAAAACGTCCTCAGATTTGTTCAGAGGCAGTTTGTTATTCCCTTCCTTTGAAGCTGAGAGATGGTGATTTCCCCAAGGACATTCAGTGGGTTTCCATGGCCAAGCAAGGATTCAAACCCTGGTGTCTCACAGTTCAAATCCATCACTCAAACCACTGGCTTTGTAGGAAGCTCTTGCAGAAAAACTATCTTTTGGAAAATAACATAGCAAAGGATATTTTCTATGCTCGATTGCTATTTACATACCAAACCATGTGGATCTGGTAGCCATAATATGGCTTGTGAGATAAATTGATTGTTAATGTATTCCTGGAGTTTATTCCCTGGAATGTCAGAATCCTTAGAGAAAGGAGATTTGTCTTGTTCCTTGGCCCTCCCACCCCCAAAGCTAAGGTGATGTAAGAAAGGTCTGTATGTATGTATGTAAATCGAGAGTAGTAAAATGAGGCCCTGGGTGCTACTTTCACAACTGTCAAAGGCCTCCAAAGAGCTCCCAAATATTAAAACAAAATCTGGTCCAATTTTCAGGCATTTTTTCCCATGAAAGGAAGTCAAGTCTTGCAATTTCTTGCTGCTTGGGGAAGCAGAGATCTCATCCCAGTATTGCACCTTCCATCTTTCTACATACAGAGTTGTCTATGCAACTTTGAACTGTCCGACATCAATTGCTGTCTTCACAAGATACAAGCAGGAAGGTGGCTCCTTATGAACAAAGGGAAATGCTGTTTACATCCGAAGTCAGGACAATCCTGACTAGTCTTCTGTCATCCCATTTCCCAGCTGCTTTTAAAATGTCTCAGTTTCTCTCTCCTTCTCCTACTTCCCCCCTTTCTACTCAGCTTACTTCAGCTGCGGCAAACTGAGTTCAAACTGGAAAGAGGAGGGGGTGAAACCTTATCCTTCCCCATAGACTCAGGTGAAAGCAAACTGCTGCAGTCTCTCCAAACTTATATCATCTTCCTCACTAAAAAGACACTCTTGATGTTGCTGAGCCACACAAATCCCAGCTTTCACCTGTAAAATGTTGGAGGGGATTGTGGCTGAGGAATCTACCCAGCTGAAGAGAGGAATCCTACAGGACCTGTCTCAGGCAGCAGATTTGGGTGTCATGAAAAGACAGCTAATTGTCCTTTAATTGGTTATGATTGTGTTTTTAATGCCAGGGATGGAAAGAGGTATCACCTTGGCTTCAGTAAGGGGAGAGGGGAGTTGTCATTTGCTGCTATCCTTCAGGTAGCAAAATATCTTGTCATAGTCCTGGGCACTGACCTCCATGGACCTAAACACACATGCTGGATTGTGTGAATATAATGGTACATGAAGGATTTGAAATATCTATTTTTCTATATTATCAAGAAAATATACCTCTGCTCTAATCAATAAGATTCCCCCAGAGTTCATCATCAGCTCTGACTACTGGCAGTAAAACACGGTAAGTGAAAGAGATGGAAAAGAGATGTGCCTCAGACAACCTCCAAGCAACCTGAAGACAGCCAGCCTACCTAAAGAGATCCAACCTTTCTCTTTTAACTTCAGTTTTTTGATAAGTTTGTATGAGTAGGTACCATCAAATAATCTGTCTACTTTTGACGACCCTATGAATTTCATAGGGTTTTCTTAGGGCCTTATCACATGGGGATCCAAAACAGAAGGTATCCAAAGCTGATACGTATACTTCTCCCGTGTGTTTACACATATCCAAAGGCAATCCAAAGCTGAAACGTATTTGTTTTCCGTGTGTTTACACATATCCAAAGGCAATCCAAAGCTGAAACGAATTCCCCCCCCCTTGATCCGAAGTCAAAGGGGATCTTTTGACATTCGGATTTTTGGGGATGTACAAGCGAGGCGCGGGAGGGAGCTGCAGCCAACCAGAATTTCAAGTAGTTCCTTTCCCATGTACTGTATCTGGGGAAACTCTAGATATCCCTTTCCAGCTAGCATGACGGCCAGAGTTTTTAGAGAAAGTGGATCCCAACATGCTGGCCGCCTCTCTTTTAACTTTTTCTGTGCCTAGAAAATGAGGACAGAGTGGGTGATATACGGAGGGAGGGCAAGGCGCGGGAGGGAGCCTCCACCGCCGCCTCCTCCGCGGCCAGAGCCGCCTCCGCCGGTGCCTTTGGGCTGGCTGGAGGGCTGGCGAGTGCGGAGGGAGGGCGAGGTGCGGGAGGGAGCCGCCGCCTCCGCCTCCGCCTCCGCCTCCTCTGAGGCTGGAGCCGCCTCTCCGCTGGTGCCTTTGGGCTGGCTGGAGGGCTGGCGAGTGCCGGAGGGAGGGCGAGGTGCGGGAGGGAGCCGCCGCCGCCGCCTCCGAGGCCGGAAACATTGCGCTATGGCCGCGCAGGCGAAACAGATTCCTTTCGGAATCTGTCTACTTCACTTAAACTTCGCTTATACTTCGCTTGCTGGCCAGCGTATGATAAGGTCCTTAGGTAAGGAATGCTCAGAAGTTGACTCTTCTGAAATTAGTATGTGTCAGTCTTTTATAGGAAATGCCCAATTTACAAAAGTGTTGAGAGATTAGTCACCGATGCCAAGCACTTCAGCTGTTATTACAGCAGTAAACAGATCTTGGGCAATATGATTTTATTGGCTGTGCTTATTTCTTATGAGCAGCCCAGAGCACAAGTCTATAGAAATTTACCTGGTCCTGAAGAGGTATCCAACATTTCACAGATGAAAACCAGATCATGTGTGGTAGATCAACACTAGAATGTGGTCAAGATTGCAAAAGTTATTAATGAGGAAGAACAAACAAGCTAGGAGATGCTGCAGAAATTTCCTTTTGTGTAAACCCACTGGGAAAGATAAGATACTGTCCCTGCTGGGTTCATTGCATGTAAACTATTTTTCCATTTTGAAATCAGTTTGCAGCAATTGAAGTAAGCTAAGGACAAAGGCAGAAAGTGGGAGGAGAAGATAAAAAACTGGGACCTTTTAAAAGCAGCTGAAAAAGTGGGACAGCAGATTAGGACTGGCTCTGCCAAACTTGGACAGTTGAAGGGTGGACATAAGTTTCTGAATAGTCATGCATAAGACAGTGTAGTCAGTTTGGTAACCTTAAAATGCTGACCCTTCAGTTTCACCATGTCCACTAAATAAACAGATATCAGTTTTCTCACTAAATTTCCAAACATCTCAGAGCTTCTGGGTCAGGAATGAAATTTTCCTGAAGATATTTCAAGTATCCACACAATTAAAAAGCAGTATCTAGCCCAGCGGTTCTCAACCTGTGGGTCGCGACCCCAGCGGGGGTCAAACGACCAAAACACAGGGGTCACCTAAAGCATGTACCCTCCGCATCCCTCCCTGCCTCCCAAATCCCTGCTCGTTCTCTCCGGCAACCACCAGCCCCCTCCC